AGGGGTGAGCACCTGGCTTGTCCTCGGAGGAGGCTAGGGAACCATTCAAGGGGCTTGAGCAGGGGTGGCATGAGATTGTTATTACTGGTTTTTTGCCTTACATTTTGGCAGACTCTGGCAGCAGTGCTGAAGGCAGAAGTGGGAGGCCAAGTAGGAAACACGCAGGCCCCATCCCAGCTGGCTGCCTGGGGGCTCTCTCCAGGATGGCCCGAGAGGGAGGCGCCTCCTGCTTCTGGGGGAGGCTGAAGGGAACCCTCCTTGACTTTCCCCAGCCTGATGCTCTCTAGGACTAGACATATTTGCCCCCAAGAACTTTGGGACACCTCTCCACCTCTCACAGGGTCACAGGCGGCCTTGTGGGGCCTCAAAAGCAGCTCTGTTACCAGCCACTTGGGAACTGGACATGGTTCAAGGTCCAGGGGGAACCTCAGGACTAGAGGCCAGTGTCATAGCTCCAGCCAAGGAGTCTACGGCTCCCAGCCCACTGTGACAGAAAATACCTCTGTTTCCAGTTAGCAGGCGCAGTGTGCACTGCCTGGAGGGACAGCAAGGGCTAATGACATTTTCTTGCTCATTGTTTCAGGGAACAAATTCAGGAGCAGTTGTGGGAAGATTCTGGGCTCTGAGCTGGCAGAAGAGGTGATACGCTGGCTCTGAGAGAAGGGCCAGCCTCATCCCAACCTTGGACGTGACAGTATATCTTTGGGCTGGCTCTGGCTGGGGCTAGAGTTTGGGGGGGGCAGAGCAGGGGTGGCATAGGCATCATCAGAGCTTCTAAGGGAACTGGATGACTCTGGAGAGATCTGCCAGATCATAGCAAGGGCCAGTCTGAGCCCAGCCACGGGAGCACAGAGTAGACTGGCTGGGATAGGTAGAAGCCAGGTCTGAGATCATGAGAACACACAGTTTAACATTGGGGCCCAGGTACTCACGGATACTCTGGTTCTGAAGCCAGGATTGACTCCCATGCCCCAGTGCCCAGCTGGGGAGGCACCGGTATCAGTGTGTGTGGCTGAGTGACACTGTCTTGGCTGTCACAGGCCAGACCTCTGCCTACAGGATACCCATAAAACATACCAGAGTCCCATTTTCGGGAACACATGCTTGTGCTTCAAACAGAAGTAGAGAGCTGAGATTAGGAAGCAGCAGGGAAACATCACTTCCTCTCCTGCTGAGGTCCCCATCCCGCCTGCAGAGTTCTCACAGGTGGTAGTGGAGAGGGAGCATGAGGGCTCCTGCCACAGCCTGTGCCCCAGGAAGATGGGCCTTAGGTGCCCTGGCCCAAACTGAAAATACTCCCCGGCCCTGCTCTATTAATAGGTTCTCGGGAGAGTTTCCACATGGCAGTCCTGGCAGGAGGGGCTGGCACTGAACACTTCCTAATGGCTTTGCTGCAGGCATTCTGGGTGGACTCCAGTGTCATTCTGAGTGTGGTTGACAGGGCCCACATCCTGGCTCTTCATTGTGCAGGGAGGCAGTATACAACTTCTGGAGATATTTCCCCAAAGTGGCTAAGGAGTGAGCCCACAATGTCAGGGCACACAGGCTGTGGTGGGCTCACAGGAAGTGAAGCAATGTCCAGGTGCCAGGGCTAACGTTGGCCATCACTGCTGCCTTAGTGTGGTTCTCTCCTCAGCCTAGGCCAGTGGGACAGGGAAGTGCAGGGGTGGATGGGGGGGATCTGGCAAGGACAGAACCCTGTATCTTCTTGTCCCCTTAAGTGGCCTCACACCAATCAAGGTGCAGTCATGGGGGCCCATCTGAAGTCACTTAGGAAGGTGAGGTTAATGACAGAGCTGGGACAGGAGGATGACTCACCACACTCTTGCTTGCTCAGCGGGCTGGGTTTCCGGGATTCCAGGCAATGACAAACACTCAGCCTCAGCCTGCGCTGGCTGGAGTGGTGGGGCCTGAGTGAAGCAGGAGAGGCAGCTTCAGCGGGCTAATCTCTGTGGGTGTAGAGGGGCTCACTTACTCCTCGACGCTGGCGGTGCAGGCCGTGGGGAAGAGGGTGAGATTAGGAGATTGCGGCCCCTTCGGAGCACATATACGAAAACTGGAACAATTCAGAGATCAGCACGGCCCCAAAAGGATGGCACACAAATCTGTGAAATGTCTCATATCCCAGAGAAGGGGGGAGGGAGGGAGGGAAGAAGAGATATTAGGAGACAGCTGTACTGGCAGTGAGAATTGGAGTCAGAAGGACCCTAGGACCATGAGCCTCCTGCGGCCACTGACACATGGAGCCAAGTCCCAGGGAAAGGGCCTGATTGTGGGGTGACACAGACAGTCACACATTGACAACACTCACTCTGGTGCCCAGCAAGACAGGTTCTTTCACAAAGAGGGCTCTGAAACAGGTACTCTGCAGAGTTTTGGAGCTGGAGTGGATGGGTAAAGAGCCAAAAACCTGGGTGACGGATCCAGCTCTCACTTGACACTCTGCCCTTGTCCCCATCACCCTGCCATGGCAAGCAGATCACAGGACAGAAGGCCCAGGACTGCGCTGAGTAGGAGCACAGCAGGGTTCCCAGAGCAGGCTGTCTTGTGCTGCCAACTCTAGAGCAGGGTTCACAGGCCTCGGGACCCCCAGACTTGAGCTGCCACTTCCAGGGTATGGTGGTGCAGGAAGGCGGGGTTTGCCATGGTTGGGGGTGGGCTCCAAAGGCTCTTCTTGGCGGGCTGCCTGGCTTAGTGGTCCAAGCACACATGGCCTGCCTCAGCTTCTCCAGCAGGAAGTATGTTTTCATTCCTGGAACCCCAAAGGATCTGATCAGGAGTCAAAGGGGGTGGTGCTTTTTCTTTCACATGGAAAGATGAGGACATAAAAGTGGGGTGGGGTGGGGTAGGGGCTGGGAACTGCTTCAGAGGTCCTTACCCCTTCTCACTGACAGGAGACAGAGATAGCTCTACACACAGAACTGCAAGTTGGTTTTCTGGGAGCTCAGTCACCAAAATCCAAAATTAGGAGACGAGGGCTGAGCTGAGACGTTTCCAGCAGGCTGCTTCTGTGCTTGGCAGCAAGAGTGAGAACTGGTAATAGCCCAGCCCCAGGGAAGCCTTGGAGAGGGCGACAGGAAATGTCATCTGGGACACAAAAGCACAGCTTTGTCACGTGGCCCCCACCCTTGCCCAGGTACCTGGAGACCACCTAGGGCCCACACTAGCCCCCACCCCAGTCCTATCTGCTCACCATCCTGGATGTTTGTTCAGTTCAGGTTCCTGCTGTGTCTTCAGAGTGGGGGGATGGAAATGGCTAGGCAAGGCCCACAGGAGTGAGAGCTTCTTGAGACCCCTTCCCCTATTCCCCCCAGGCATGACCTTGGACCCCAGATTCTCAGAACAGTGAGGTTCCAGCTTGGGTCTGACATGAATTTTGAGAGCTTAGCCCCAAACTAAAGCCTTGGCCCCTCCACAGCTCTGCCCTGGGCAGAGGTAGGTCCCTGTTTAAAAGCCAAGCATACCATTCCAAAAAACTGTACTTGCAGACTAAGACACGTAGCTCAATGGTACAGCACTTGCCTACCATGAACCATAGGCCCTCCAGATTCCACATCCAGCTCATAGCTCCACCAAGGTTCTACGCAAACACAAGCATGAGGAAACACCCCCAGGAGGCCCTCTGTCTACCATACTGCGCCTTTTTCCAGGCAGGCAGCCCCGGTAGCTCTGTGCATGAAGGCCTAGACACACTTGGTCACAGATGCGGCCTGGTTCCACTGAGTCCATGGGGGGCTGTGCTGTCACCACCCTACAAGTTGTATATTTGGGGAGTGTTCCCCAGAGTACATCTGATCATGGGTGAACTTTCCACTGCCAGTAACTCACCATGGCAATACCATATTATGCCCAGATCATCTCCCTAAAATTCATTATTTCTAAACTTCATTGTGGCATAAACTGGAAACACAGACAGTGGCAACACTGGTCTGGTCTATGAGCAAGAACTGCCATGCAAGCCTTGGAGATCCTGCTTGGGTTCTGCTGTCCGCAGCCATGGACCACTGACTCTGGAGACGCATTTCCTGTAGCTTGGTTGTTCAAATCAAGTCCCAACACCTGGCAACTCCAAGTCCAGGTCCTGGAGAACAGGCAACCTAGGGCAGGTCATAGGGGAGATCTGGCAGAGGCGGGAGACCAAGGCTAGTCCTACAAGCTAAGCAGGCTCAACCCCGTTGCCCTGGCTCTCTGTAAGTCTGTAGGGATGGGGAGTTTATCACCGCCCCCGAGGCAGCTGAGAGTGAGCCTTCTCTGCCAGTTCAGACCATTGGGCCCACCAGGCTCTTCCATGCAATGGCAACTCTATCCTACGCATAGCTCAAGGGAACTGTCCCTGATGGCAGCCCCATGGTCCTAGGGGACTGGTTGGGTCAGAGTGATGGGCTTTGTTTGAGCTTGTGCTCTGCACTGGCTAGGGTATAGGCTCTCCTTGGCCTGGTTGTTCATCAGAACTCAACAGAGGCTGCCTCCTTGTCCTTCCAAGCTCTGAAGTTTTCAGGCACTGGTCCCCCTGGAAGTTAGAAAGGCTGAGGTCCCCTAACCATGAGGTACCAACGAGTTGCAGGAGATCTAATACTGCTCCCCCACCCAAGTCTGGAGGGTGGGGGCTGAAGGCATAAAGGACACACAGACATGGAAAATACTCCCCCTGACAGATGTGGAAGAAGGATCCACAGAAACCCTCATGAGCAAATGGGAACACTGGCTTTTCAACAGAAGCCAGAGGGGCAGGCAGGTGGAGGTGGGTGTGTGGGAGGCTCTGGCTGCCCTGCTCCCCCAAACGCCCTCAATAGCTGTAAACAAGGGTGTCCTGGCCTGAGTGCAGGGGCCCTCCCAAGTTGACCATTTTTCATTTTTCATTTGTGCCTCTGGGGATGGGGGAGGACTGCTTAGGTCGCATCCAGAATAAGCCATTCCTGCAATGAGACCTATAAAGTCAGCGTTAGTTTTCACGTTCCTTTGCTCTCACACATGCAGAAAACAGGAAATCACTACCCCAGTGAACATATGTGGGACAGAAGTCAAGGCCACTGCCCACTCTACAAAGCTTGTTTATTCCTGGACAACCCGACTTCGACGAGCCTTTGTTAGACGCAGAGAAAACTGGTCTATCCAACCAAAGAGGGGTCAAATTCCAAGCCACACCAGGGGAAGAGCCAATTACACGGCTGAAAGGTGAGGGCAAGGCAAGGTTCTCCAGACAGGCCTGCAGTCTCAGGTCTTCAAGGCAGCAAACACTTCATGTTGCTCTTTCGTGTCAGGCTGAATGTAGTCCTATCAGTTGGGTCTCATGCATCCTTTTCTGGGTGGACCCTGGCCTGGAGGCCTCTGCTGCAAGTGGAGAAGCCCATGGTGCAAACAGTAAGGTAGAGGGCACAAGTGCTTCATCCCTGGGGCTTGGTACAGATGTGATTCTCTCACAGCTGAATTCCTTTATTCCCCCAAGTCCCACAGTACAGATCTCAGGCCTGCTGCCCTCCAAATCAACTGAGCTCCTGATTCTTGCTCCCCTGATCATGGTGTTGCTCTCTGCATGATTAGCTGCTGGTTCTCCAGACACTGCTTCAGCTTGTCTTCTGTCAGTGTCAACCGCTGTTCCAGGATGGACACTGTCTGTAAAATAAATGGTGGTCAGACTCAGGATGGGGACTACCCAGCTGCCCTTGAGATCCCATTGGTCAGCCTCTACACAGCTGGTGCATTCCAGATGCCAGGTGCTGGTTCTCTGGATGAGGGGCTCCACCTGTGAGGGGCTCTGCCCATCTAAGCGGATGGGCAACCTGGAGCTCAGAGCGTAGGTTACTCAGTGTGGTGCGAGCACCTGGGAAGCTAGACCCACACTGGCCACTCTGCCCATGGTGTCTTCCTGAGGCTGATCTCTTGTTCCTTACAGATGCAACTTCCTGACAGGCTTTGGGCAATGTCAGCAAAGGATAGCACTGTCCACCTCTGCCACGCCCACCCTGCCACTTGCTCAGGTTGGCCCAGGCTGGCATGATGCCACTTCTCTGCCTTCGTCAAGGGCTGGTGAGTGTTTGTATTGTAGGGGAAACCACCATGGCACAAGGCCACCATGAACATGGCGAGCTTCATTTCTCCATGGTGCAGCTTGCAGGCACTAGAAGGGGTACATTAACTTCACCCAAGAAGGTAAACCCAAGAGGTTTTGTCCCCTTCCCAGAGCTCCATGCAGGCTCTGGGCCTTAGTCCAGTAGAAAGGAAACTTTCCTTGCATACACTTAACACAACATTGAAACATTTAGAGAGGGTTTTCCCTTGAAGGCTGCTATAAAGTTTTACAGATTCTGCACAGATGTCAGCTGCTATTGAGGGTCTCAGAAAATGATCAGGCTCTGAAGCAGGGGTCACAGGACACAGCCTGAGAAATGACTGCCCTGGGACATAAACTGCACCTACGTGGCAGAGCTGAGCTGAAAGACACGGCCATAGCCCCAGTGCTGGTCACGGAAAGAGCTGCATCTCTCATAAAAGTGGTAGCGGAAAGGGCCTTCAGCTGGCCCAACCAGCATTCCTAGAAGTTTCCACTGGCTGCTGGGAAATTCACACAACCCAAATCACTTTACCCAGGCCCCTGCCAAAACATAGCCTGGACTCAAGGCTACCATGGGGGAGCCCAGCCTGCTGCATTTCCCATTCTCCCTGTTATTTTAATTGTTCTAGAAACACAACTTAAAAAACAGAGGCAATGGGCCAAGAAAATGGGCAGGTGAGGGGCTGAGCCCATAGCTGCACCAGGAGCCTCCACTTAGTTCTATGGGGGCCCACACTGCAGCCCAGCAGTGATGTGACCAGTGGGTATGCTGATTCTGACTCCTCTGAACAGAACTATTTCACAGCTGGCTCCAAATGGAGGATGCCGGCCCTGCTGTGGTGCTTCCTTTCTGAGCTTCAAGGGGTACTTCCTAGTACATTACAGAAAGAGACTTAAAAGCCCTCTACCCCTCAGACCTGCACCTCCCCCTCCTGGTCAAGCTTCTAAGGAGTCATATAACGCTTATGTTTGGTCTCCACTATCTTTGTCCTTTCTGCCTTCAAGCCTGCTCACCCAAGGAAGGGTGGTGGCCACAAGCAGGGCTAAGGCTACTGAACACCCAGCCACATCTGGTGTTCTCTGCTTCTTCATGTATTTTTAATAATTATATTTCAGTATGCATGGGATCCCCCATACAGAATCCCCCTGATAAGGCGGAAATTAGAAATCCTGTTCTTAGCCAGGTATGATGGTGCATGCCTGTGATCCCAGCAGGTTGAGGCAGGAGGATTGCCACTAGTTCAAGGCCAGTCTGGGTTATACAGTGAATCCAAACTAACCTGAATGTACCTTGCTGATGTACCTTCCCTCTACATGGGACAGGGTCTTCCAGTTACAGGAAGATCCTATCAGGGGCCTGTGAATAGCATCATGCTTGGGGCTGGTTGTGCAGATAAGCAGGAATGCTGGCAGACTAGGTGCAGGGGTGGCCAGGGTAGACTACCATAGAATAACCCTGCTTCCCCAGCTGTATGGGCAAGGAGGGAAGAAGAGCACCTGGGGTAGTACACAGCATGTGTGGGGGCCTCCCTAGCAAGGACTAGTTTTGGCCACAGTATGCATGTTTGTTAATAACGTATGTTTTGGTTTGAGTCTGGGTGCCCCCCACTCCCCCCAAGCCTCATGTAGTCATGGAAGCAGGCTTCTAGAGTTTAAAGTGCTATACCCAGGTGGGGGTGGGAGTGGCCCACTTATAATATAAGGGACAGAGTTTTCCCTTTTGCTCTTGTTGCTTGTGCTGTTTTTCACTGCCATGAACTGTTGCCCTCTGCCATGTGCCACTCTGCCTTGGAGCCAAGTTGATTACAGACTAAAACCTCCACAAACTATAAGCTAAATAAACCTTTCCTTCTCTATTTTTGGATGTTGGGTGTTTTGTCTCAGCAATGAGAGGAAAGTAACCAAGACTATGTATTTGACCTTGACTGGTAGTTTGGAACAGTGGAAGATGAACACATGTCCACACCAGTGCAAATCTCAGTAAATATATGTTGCTGCTTCAGTGTGGAGAGGACAGAGGTAGCCACACATGGGAGCTTGTGCTATACTCTGGATCCATGGTCCAGCTACTCAAGCTGCTCATCTGCCTCATGCTCTGGGTAAGGTCTTGGGCATTCTACCACAGTGGGCCTGGAGGATGATTGCTTTCTTTCTTTCCTTCATTCCTCACTCCCCCTCTTTCTTTCAGAACTAGGAATTGAATTCAGGACCTTGCACTTGCCAGGCAGGAGCTTTTGCCACTGAGCTATATCCCCGGATCCGAGTATTTCTAAGGTGAACACTTCTATTCCTTTTATAGTCCAAACTCTATGACCTAGCTGTGCAATTTTCTTTTATTCAACAGCTGACACTTGGCCTCTACTGCTCATCTCTGGCTCCACTCCCTCAGAAGGCCCTTAAGGAAGAACTGGCAGGGAGCAGATGCCAAAAGGGGAAGTGCCTACCTGACATGGATTATCCTTCGGCTTTCAGACACCTGTCTGGACAAGGAAGCCAGGAAATATGGCCCACCTCTGGGACTGTTTTCTTGGGGGGAAGGGTATCCAGATTCTTCCATAGCAAGGTCCCTTCTGTCAACCTTGTAGGAATCAGGCAACTTACTCCTTCTGCCTGGCCCTTATGCTGCCCTGGTAGCTGATTCCTAAATTCTAACTGGGGTGTGGTGGTGCTTAACCTCAGACCTTAGGGAGGCTAGTGAGAGGTGCCCATAATTGAGCTTTTGGAGACTCCTGACACTGCATGAGGAGAGGCCTGGCTTCTGCCTGCTCCTTCCACTCACCTCTGGTCTTGTCACAGTGCTGCTGGTTCTGAGGCCTCAGAATACCTGCTTGTCCCTCACTGTACAATGTTCACTCCTGATACCCAATGCAAGCAGCTGAGGAGAAAATCTTGGATCCTGGTCCTCAACAGCAGTGGCTACCTTTTGTCCTTGTTTGACAGCTACTCCAGGTTACATGAGCAGAGGTTCCTTGCAGTGGAACAGACAGCCTCAGGATCACCTAGCAGCCCCTCATCCCCTTAGTAACATTCTAAAGCTGTTCCAGGCCTCAGGCATCCTTTATCATGAAAAGCAATCTCTTCTCTGCCTAAACGTTTACATTTGAAATTATTGCTAAAGAATAATTCATCAGAGTCATATAAAGGCAACATAAGGACAAAAAGGACTTACTAGCAAGAAGCTCTTAGTAGATATGCAACATGGAACTACCCTGATACCTTCCCCTCAGATGCTTTCTTTCACTGGAACACTCAAGCCATTGCAGCCCAAGTGATCTGCCCCAAAACATGCGTTGGTCACTGCTGGTGCCCACCACTCAAAGATTGGGCTAAATCAGAGTGACGGGAAGTCAGGAAGAGGGGTCACTGTCATTTCTCACCTGAGGTTGCTCTTGAAGACAGAGTAATGCAGCCTCATGGGGAGATGTCAGAGGTTTATCACTAAGGTCACACCTGTCAGAGGGTCACCAGGGGGCTTGTTCCTGAACTACCTTTTGTTTAGGAGACCACAACTGTTTTCCCAAACCAGTGCTCTAGCCTCTGAATACTTCTTTGTGCTGCCGACTGTATTCTGTTGTCTCTCTGTAAAGGGTGACAAGTGACTGCCCGCTGCCCACCTCTATAAGGTTTGTTGCCTGCCATGTGGCTTCTGTACCTCTACAGCTGCTTCCTGGCCACTGTGCCAGACCCTGGGAATTGTGAGATACCCTGCAACCCACAGAGCCTAGAATATCCACTATCCTAGAAGAACTTTGGCAACTTTGCCCTGGACACCCTTTTCCCTCACTCAAAACTCCAGTGGGTACCTCCTCCCACTGGCCAGGGTCCCGCTAAGGTGTCAATGGGCCTGCATGGTGTGCAGTGGTTCCAGATAGCATACGCTTCCCAGTGTATCACACAGATTTTGGGCTGTGCTGTGAAGACTGGATAGGGCTGGCCTCAAGTGGCCCTGAGGAGGTGAGGAACAAGCTCATCAGGCAAGAGAGACAGGTTGAGCACTGGGGACAAAGGAACAGTGTGCACAAAGGCATGATGGAAAGTAATGAGCAGCAGTGAGCCAAAGGCAGCTATACGTGAGAGCAAGGGAGGAGGGCCTCACTCAGGAGGGAGGAGAGGGAGCCAGGTCCCTCAGGCCATGCTGCCAGCGTCCTCACCCTCCATCGGACAGGGCGGGAGGTGGATACACTCCTCTGACTGCTACATGGAGATGGTCTAGAAGAGGCTGCATGGCTGTGGGAAGGCCAGGTGGAGATAAGAATGGGAGTGGGGAGGTGGTGGCTTGGACTCGGGGAGGGGAAGCTCAGAAGAAAAGTGGACAAAACCAGAACACAAAGAACAGACCAACACCACCTGGTGGTGAGTCAGATGGGGGAATGTCAGAGAGGGCACATTCCCTGAGGCCTAGGCCTGGGTCAAGAACAGGCCCAGATGGGACAGGTGGAGGGTGGGGCCCTGGAAAACTGTAAAGGCCAGGAGGACCTGGGATGGCCTGGGAAGTAGTAATCAGCAGCAGTCACATCACACCTTTGAGACTGTCCTTGTTACTGTGGAGGCCGAGGGTGAA